GGGACATTTCTGCTGCTCACGCAAACTTTCAGTCTTTCCCAGCAAGGAGGCCAGGCTGTGTATCACACCCCTTCAGCTGCAATTCTCATTTCTTCAGCTCTTTGAAAGTGAGGGACGAGTCCCTGCGGGTTCTTTCATCTCTTATCATCTGTGGAAAGCAGCGTCTTCCAACGTCAGCCGAGAGGTTGGATGAATTGCCTTTCGGAAGATCTCTCTCCGCTTTGGCGGCACAGTGAGCTGATGTGACTGGGATCGAGCAGAAACCCATTCATCAGAAGTCTAAAATTAACTAGGAATGAGTCATATCTCTCAGAAGAAGGAACAGGAAATTTTGCCATAAATTCTCCTGGGTCTAACGGCAGGAAATGAGGGAAGAGAAAAGCCTGCACGCTGCCGATTTCAAGCCTACCAAGTGGGTTATGGGCCTCAAAGAAGTTAACTACGAACTCAACGAGATGTGGATCAAGCTCACACCTGGGCTCAGGAAGGACATATCTGGGCTAAACCAGCAGATAGCGATCGCAGCTATAGGAAGGAATTTTTAAAATTTTTTAAATGTTTATCTTCGTTTCAAAAATGTTTCCCTTCCTAATAGTCTGCTCTCGGTCGACACGTACAACCATCACCAAACGCAATGTGTGACAGCAGGCAGGACGCTGGAGATGCTCTGAAAAGAGGATTTTGCAGTGAGATGCCTTGTGTTCTATATAGGCTACTGGTTTTAAACATGCAGCCATTTTTGTCTATTAATTCCAGAGTTGGACAAAATGTTTTGTTCAGTATTTGATTAATTTAAAGCTAACTTTTGTGTTGCCGCTTCAGGATTTTCAAGACAGAAAAAAAAAAAATATTTTGGATCAGGCAAACTGAACCACAGAATCCTTCAGGTTGGAAAAGCCCCTCGGGATCAGCGAGTCCAACCCTCAGCCCGACTCGACAAAGTTCTCCCCTACCCCACATCCCCCACAGCTCATCCCAATGGCCCTGAAACCCCCCAGGGATGGGGACTCCCCCCTCCCTGGGCAGCCTCTTCCACTCTCGGACCACTCTTGCTGGGAAACATTTTCTCCTCTTGTCATACCACTGATTACCTCTGAAAACAGTCAAGTTTCATAAAACCAATTTGGAAACTTAAATAGAAAATTTGCGAACTGGGGATACTGATATATTTCTCTATCCAATAGCCCAACAGACAGGGCGTACATCCAAGATGTGAATGCAATCTGCAGATGAAGATCATCTGAAGAGGCAGATGAAAACTGATCTATCTATTGGGGTGCAAACAAGCCTTTTCGTAAAAATGGAGAGGATTCTTGGAGGATGAATCCTGTATAATGAGACCATAAAATTCAAAATAAGCTGGAAAAATTAGAAGATAATGTCAGCCTTGTAACTAAATGAAGATAATATTTTCTGGCCCCGCATCTTCCACTTTTTTTCCCACAGCTTTTTCGAGCCAACAATAGACAAAAACTTTCTGTGTCATTAAGAGCTGCTTCTGTTAATGAAGATCTGTGGGCACGGAGGAATCCGCAAGGATGCTTCCACAGAGAGATATCAGAGCTTGCAAAAGTGCAAGCAATCAGTTCGGAAAATTAAAATGATTCCAGAATTTTGTCTGTCCCAGACGCTTCTGACAGTAAGGAGATTGGCAGCCTGAATTTCAAGGGTGGGGAAGGAGGGCTGAATAGCATTGCCAAGCCAGATGTTTTTCCCTGTTAAGTGAGGTTTAGTGTGGTATGAAGAGGTGATTTTCTCACAAAAACCCATCAGAAGATCGCAAAAGGCTCGAATGCCACTTAAAGGTTATTTGATATTTCCACCAGTAAAACCAGCATCAATTTAAGCGACTTAAAAGTTGAAACATGAAGTAGAATTGAGCTCACTTGTAGCTCCATGGCAGGATGTTCCACACGTTGCTTCTCAGGGGAACAGAATATGGAACTGCAGGAAAAATATTATTTGAAGACTCAGCTGTTTTAAATTACAGGTGGGAAAAAAAAAAAAAAAATTACCGTCACGAAATTGAGTTTCTAAAAATGATTTCCGAGGTGATAATCAGTGGAGGCTTGGGCTCGTTCTGCAAGGGAAATTGTTTTAGAAAAGAGGCGAGGTTTAATTTAGAAATATTTGATAGTAGAAGAAATAAAGCAAAAAGAAAAATGAAACAGAAAAGAGAAAAAGGTCGTTTAATCGCTCTCCCCAATATGGGGCCAAAGCTAGTACTGGCGCTGCCTGTTGGGGAGGGTTTTGAAATAGCACTGATGAACTTCACACATTGTTACGTGCCACAACTTAAAAAAAAAAAAAAAAAAAAAAAAAAAAAAAAAAAAAAAAAGTATAAAACCAGGGAGTTTGGAGAGGAGACTTCCCGAAAAAAAAACCCACAAACCGGTCCAATATGTGGAAATATCAGATTTAATCTCTGTCTTCTCGCTTGCTCTTCATGGTTTTTAATCTATTTGCAGGAAATGGTACGTGGACTAAATAAACGGTTGGGGCAAAAGTGACTCGTTGGCTGCAACTGCTCAGTGATAACACACACACCGAGTGCCCAATGCCCGTGGGGAAACTGCACATGCAGTGGAAAAAGTTTGCTTATAAACCACAGGGTGATAGAATGGCCCATCGTTAAATCTGTCTATGGATTTACAGTAAAATTATCCCGATTTTTTTTTTTAAATGCTTTGACCGCTGCCTTGTATTGAAACAGATCATTTATATCACAGGGGAATCAGTTCATTTATCCAGACGAGCACCTAAATCCACACTTCGCTTTACACCTTCCTGTAGTCCCGTTGATTTTAATGAGAAAACTCAGGTGCCTCAGGTTGTCTACACGCTAATTAAGCTTCACAATTGTGGACAGATTTCTCTTATAGACAGGACTGACCCTTTCGGGACACTTCCGTGTCACTATTATCACTCAGTTGAACAGAGAAAGTTTATTTTCCTAAAAAGAAACGTTGAAGAAAAAAAAAAAAAAAAGACTTCAAAATGGAAGGGAGGTAAAATCTTATGAAATAAAAGATTAATTTTCCTTTGAATCGGGGAGTTCCTAATGCGAGAAGCTAGGATTTCAGAATAAAAGCTTCAAGAATGAATCATTCCCATATTTTCAGTGAATTTATAGACTTTGCTTACTGTAGACTATGATGAAGAGAAGTCCATAATCTCATTTACACTCATAATTAAAATAAAAATTAAAAATAAAAAAAAAACAACAAAAAAACCCTATGCCTGATTTTTACGGTGTAGATTTTTACACCCCATTAACAAAAAGAGTTCTCAGCTTTAAATTCAATGACTGAATTCAATTTAGAAGCAACAGTTTTAGGTTTTCATTTGTATTTTACATTCGTATTTTATATTGGCACTGGGATTTTTTTTTTTAGTGTGAACGGTAAACGTCTCCCCCACCCCTAAAAAAAAAAAAAAAAAAAAAAACCAAAAA